ATAAAAGTGTCCATAATAACAAAAAAATCATGGACTGGAGTGGTGTGGATTAGTTTTGGATTATCGTGGTGTTTTTATCAGCTGTTTGGACTCTCATTCCGACGGCACCCATTCACTGCAGAGCATCCATTGGTGAGAAAGTGACGCAATGCTACATTTCTCCAAATCTGTTCCAATGAAGAAACAAACTCATCTACATCTTGGATGGCCTGAGGAGTACATTTTTAGTTACTTTTATTTTCGGGTGAACTATTCCTTGAAAATATTTCGTTTTTTCGTTATTTCTTTGAAAACTGAAAAACGAGAAAGGCTGCTTTCAATATTAAATCACAAAAAGCATGAACGCAACATATACGGACTATGTTCTCAGCCAACTGAAAGGGATTGTTCATTTCTTCTGCTAATATGACGCTCTAACCTTGTTATCGTTCCCTCCAGAGGCGAGGTGCTGGTGGTCAGGTGACCACTTGAGGCCACACACTTCCTGCCTGTGGCCCTGGAGGCGTCTCTCCACAGGAGGAGGTGTCCTCACGTCCCTCTGCAGAATCACTCTGTCCCGGCTACCCGACGACAGCTGCTCTCCATTCCACGCAAGCGCTCCTGAGAGAGAGCAGAGAAGGTGAGACTGAAACCGCCCCGGTTATATGAAGATGATTTGTTCTTGATGGAGAGTTTAATTTACTTAGTGAAAACAAATCTGCTAAATTGCTCAGAGAGTGATTAAAACCAGCAAACATTTCAAGGGAGTGATTTTAGCGTGACACAAACCTACGCGTGCTGAATGTCCCTCCAAACTGGTCAGCTTCCTCCCTCCAGCTGCGTCCCAAATCTGGACAAATCCTTTATGGGTCCCTACAGCCACCAAACTTCCCTGAATGAACAACAAAGACGAAAATATTACCCTGAACAATCACAAATGAGAAATATTCATATAAATAAGAGGTTTGAGCTGACCCTCTCATTCCAGCACACTGATGTAACAGAGTCACCATCCACTGATAAGTCACACAACCGCGTCACCTGTGTAAAATGAAACGCTCAATACTGACGATCACATCAGATTACATCTGTAGCTGTTTGTCCTTATAGTTTGTCTCTTACCTGACTGGTACAGGCACTCCACAGGTAAACACAGGCCCCCAAACCAACACTCAAGAGATTTCCAGCTGACCAGTCCACCTGTTCACAAACGTTTTCAATCAAATTACTCGGCAAATGTTAACATCCTTTGTATAAAAGAAATGCATATTAAATTATATCATATCATATCATATCATATATTATATGTGACTCTGGAGCACAAAACCAGTCATAAGTCGCTGGGGTATATTTGTAGCAATAGCCAACAATACATTGTATGGGACAAAATTATAAATTTTGACTTAAGACTTTTATGCCAAAAATCATTAGGCTATAAAGTAAAGATCATGTTCCAAGAAGATATTTATTAAATTTCCTACCGTAAATATATCAAAACTGAATTTTTGATTAGTAATATGCATTGCTAAGAACTTCATTTGTACAGCTTTAAAGCCGAATTTTCTCAATATTTTGATTTTTTTGCACCCTCAGATTCCAGATTTTCAAATAGTTGGAAATGGAAAATGGAAAGCGTATTTATTCAGCTTTCAAATGATGTATAAATCTCAATTTCAAAAAATTATTGACCTTTATGACTGGTTTTGTGGCCAGGGTATAGTATAGTATAGTATAATATTATATAATATTATGGCATTTTAAATGATCAAAATTTTAAATATAAAAGAAGTGTTATATTATTTTACATGGTTCTCTGAAATACTTATGACTGGTCAATTGTGACATTCTACAGTTTAATATTTTTGTGTAATGACCGCTAGACTGTATAATTGTAAACTGTATAACTGCAGTCCCAGGAAACCAATTTCTTACAGTCAGCTGGTCAGTATCGCAAAAATAAAGTGATAATAATGTACTCTCTTTTCATTATTTAATATTTAGACGTGTAAAAATATCTGTAAACGAAGCGTACCAGGTTGAGGTAGAAGTCATCCTGCAACTCTGGGGCATCAAGAACCTTGAATGGGATCTTGGAAATCTTGCGTGCTGGCTTTCGGGGTGAACGCAATAGTTTGTGACTGCAGATGCAAAAATTAAAAAATCAGACATGAATAATATATGGATACAATTAATAATGTACAAAAATGTCATGTTTTTATGTGCTATAAGAAAAAAAAATCTTAATCAGTATTTCATTATTTTTGTATGGAGACCTGCACACAGGAGAAAACAAAAATAGATATTATGGACATAAACTGAGGATTTGCTTTTCTCACAACTAATTTGTGGCCACGTTTTATTAATCAGTTCCCTCATTTTAGTTAAATCATGTCCACGTTGTACTGATTTGTTCCCTTGATTTGATTTAATTTAATTAAATCATAACTACATCTTGGGAACAAATTCTTCATTTGTTGTGACAATGTCTTTTTCTTTGCATGTCATGTGTGGGGCTCTATATTTTGGTCTTTTATAATAAAAAATATCTGTATTTGTCAAAAGGATTGAGAAAAATCAGCTTAATTCGGCAACACATTAATATACGGACCAATTCTCACTATTAACTAGTTGCTTATTATTAGCATGCCTATTATTAAGATATTGGCTGTTTATTAGTATTATAAAGCACATATTCTGCATGACCATATTCTACATCCCTAATCCTACCCAATACCTAAACTTAACAACTACCTTACTAACTAACTATTAAAGGATCATATGATGCTTTTTTAAAGATCATTATTTTGTGTATTTGGTGTAACAGAATATGTTGACATGCTTTAATGTTCAAAAAACACATTATTTTCAAATACTGTACATTATTGTAGGTCCTCTATGCCCCGCCTCTCTCAAACGTTTCGTTTTCTACAAAGTCCCTCCTTCCGACAAGCGCAGTCTGCTCTGATTGGCCAGCTGACCCAGTGCATTGTGATTGGCTGAACACCCCTTGGCCCTTACCATAATCGCAAGCTTCATCTTTCAAAACAACTGTAAAGACAGAGCCCGAAAGGGGAACAGAGTCGCGTGACAGAAACAGTGATGAAGCTGGTATGTGTTTGCAGTACACAAGCCACGGTTAAGAC